TTTTGTCTGTGAGACACCATTCGACCGAATAGAGCGCACGAATATGTTGAGATTATTGTTGGAGACTTTGTATCAAAAATCTAAAAAAGTGTGGATTTTAGTTTAATTTCGTCTTATGTACAATAAAACTATTTATAGGCTGGTTCTATGTTTTCTACATTTAGGATGTGATGTGATGTATCAAAGTGAAAAATATTATAGTATATGATTATACTTATCATAAGACATTAGTAGTAAACACTACATTCTTAATCTAGTCCCTTAGGGTTTTTCGAGAATTAGAAGGGTTTATAATGATAGTATTCTAACTACACTATATTTGTCATATCCATTGCCGACGACTTGCTTTACTCAATCCAGCGCTCATCTGTAATCAAACAATATGATGTACGGAAGAAAACAAAATGGCATTAATGTAGCCAAACAATTCGAAGAATTGGGAAAAACAAAATGAAAATATATATAAGTATATAACACGCATATATATTAAAACACACGATGCAACATATAAATACAAATGTATGAAACATACGTAGACAAAAACATAACACATAAAACCAACCAATATGAAATATGTACCCAAATTAAACTAATAAAACGAAACAGAATTAATATAGGCATAGAACAAAGGTAAGTGTGAAAGGAGGAAATAACCATAGAAAAGAAAATTAATTTTTCAGTTTCTGGGTCTATTTCAATGTCTTAATTTATTCTTGTATTTTGTTCCAAAGTACATAACCTCTTCAGCTGACTATATCGTTCGATGCGCGGAATGGTAGCGTCGACGCAGTAGCCGCTACAGAAGAACATAAATATCTGTAGCAAACCACCATTTAATCAAGAAATAGTTAATCTACTGTCGCCACTAAATGCAAAGCCCGTGGAGTCTCACTCATTCAATCTGACTGATTCAGTGAGTCTTTCACCCCTTCTTTCTTCTAGTTAATTCGTGCGTTGGCTGGATATAAATCTACTGAGTTCACCAAAGCGCGGGATTTTGCAAAGATAAAGAATCTAGAAACGCGATCTAGCGCGAGGGCTGGGGGATTTTCGGGATGCCATGCCTAGTAATTGTCAACATTGATTGTCTCCGTGATGTCGCTAGTTGAACCCAAGTGCGCGTGTGACTAACTCACTCCATTATCGAAATGAATTGAGGCCATCCATATATAAGTTCGACTACATTATACAAAAGCCTGTCACAGGTTCGATAGTATTCATTCCCGCTAAAACATGTTATTATGTGAAAGAGATAAGATTACATAATGTATGACCGAATGTAGAAAAAACGGCATCAGCAAGTTGAAACATTATATTCGCTTTTTTAAGCTTTATCTGGATAAACACAAACTCGTAAAACTGCAATTCACATACCCAATAAACGTTACCTAGAAATATTACAGAAAATGTGTTTAGCGTGAGTTGAATGAAGGGACAAGAACATGTTTCTGAAGGTTTAGGTTTTAATATCATTGACATTATTTTCTTTACACTTGTGTGTAATATTAAAATAATAAATACATAACACACAACGTTAAAATCATGATGACGTGGTAAACGTCGAACATGTAGAGTCCACATTTTAGAAATGTTTTTAATTGTGTATCGGTTTAACGTTGTGTTTTATTCATTTGTTGTTTAATATCGTTCTCAAGTATACTTAACAGAAAAAAATAAATGGTGGTACGCACATTCAGGGTAGTTATTGAAAATCATACAACGCATAACGAATTCACAGACGATGGGAACGTTACTCTATACGCTTGTGTAATATAGGGGCAACCGCTTGTTGATATAGATTACTTCACGAAGAAAAGTTTCTGGCGATAGTATGGCTCTTCCGATAGCCCGGCATGTTCAGGTGGATAAGGCACTCGACTCACAATCTGAGGGTCGTGGGTTCGAATCCCCGTCTCACCAAACATGCTCGCCCTTTCAGCCGTGGGGGCGTTATAATGTGACGGTCAATCCCACTATTCGTTGGTAAAAGAGTAGCCCAAGAGTTGGCGGTGGGTGGTGATGACTAGCTGCCTTCCCTCTAGT